CCCCTTTACATAGAATCCCAGACTGGTTTGGGTGGGAAGGGACCAGTAAAGGCCATCCTGTCCAACCCCCCTGCAGCGAGCAGGGACACCTTCAACCAGACCAGGTTGCTCAGAGCCCCATCCAGCCTGGACTTGAATGTTTCCAGGGATGGGGCATCGACCATCTCTCTGGGCAACCTGTGCCAGGGTTTCACCACCCTCATTGCGAGAAGATTCTTCCTTATACTTAGTCTAAATCTCCCTTCTTTCAGTTTGAAGCTATCACCCCTTGTCCTGTCACTCCATGCCCTTGTCACAAGCCCCTCTCCAGCTCTCTCGCAGGCCCCTTCAGGTCAGTGGGACAGCGGCCAGGCTGACACCTCCCCTCTCCTCTCCCACCTTAGATCCTCAACATGGAAGATGACCAGAACTGGTACAAGGCTGAGCTGTACGGCTGCGAGGGCTTCGTCCCCAAAAACTACATCAAGGTCAAGCCGCACCCGTAAGTACCACCCCAGCGCGTGGGGTAGGGGGGCCCGAAGCCCGCTCTGGTAGCACCCACCAGCACCAGGACATCTTTTCCCACCACCCAGGCAGCGATCCCAACGCTGCATCCCGACGCCCAAAGGTCTGACATGAGCCAGGGTAGTGCCATACGTGGGGAAACTGAGTCACGGAGCGATGGGGGCTGCCTGACCCCCCAGAGGGGGTCACTCTGCCATTGCCACCACAGCCGGAGGGGACAGGAGGCAGCAGCAAGCCCGCGTACCCCTGACACAGAAATTCAACCCTCACGCTGTGCTGCCCGCTAAATAAATGATAATTGGGGAACAACAAAGCGTTATGGGATTATGACTGCATTAGAGACAATCCTATTAAAGCCCAGCATAATCCATCCCTGGTTTAACCTGTGTTTTATGTATCATTATCCCCTGGTAAATCACATTTAAATGCCGTAGCGAAACCCGCTCGGGGCTGCGGCTGGGGAGCAGGAACGCATGGGCTCGGGGCAGCCCGGGGCAGATCCCGTTGCCTCTCCGGCTTCGCTTAACACACCGGGACGGGCGAGACGCAGCCTCTTCTGCACAGCACCGGGAGAGCTGGCACTGGGAGATGCTCCACGCTAAAGGCTGATCGTTCACGGGGTGATTTTAACACGTAGCAGAGGGTCTCCACGGCCCGGGGCTCCCAAACACACGGACGCAGCCTTGGCAAGGGTGGGAGATGGGGACTCTGCTCCTCCACCTTGTTTCAGCAGCTGCCGGCGATGCCAAGGGTTTCGTCCTGGCACGGAGGGTTTTCTGCTTGGCAAACCACCCCCGTAGTACCCGGCAGGGCTGTTGCCATGGGAGGCTGTGGGACATGGTGGGGGGGGGGGGGGAGACAGGCC